AAAATAGGTTTAAATATTGAAAATACTGCAAACCTAAAAGATAGGGTCAAGCCCAATACACAAGTCCATAAAAATAAAATAATCCAATTCAAACTAAGAAATAAAAGTCCAACTAAAATAATTAAAACTGGGATGTCCTCATCACATGGTCCCCACTCCCCCTTGAGGTGTTCATTGTTTCATTCAGTTCCTTAATAATGTTCCCCTCCAGCCACTCTGATTTGAGTCTCTCTCCTTACAATTTCGCTAGCATTGTAATTTTATTCATTTTTCACTGAAATTCTTTTTGATGATTAGAAATAAATTCCACCATGTTTTCCAAGCGTTCCACTTGTGACTTGTTGTTCAAGTGATTTCTCAAAGCTGGCTCTGATACTAATTGATACGAACATAAATAAATAATTACTAAAAATCAAATTGTAACACTTAATCTCTACCACCCAGGTTATATGGTTGTCAAATGAAGCATTCATTGCTGGTCCAAATAATAACATCTGTTTATATGGTAGACATTATTATATTTGACATTTCTTCCGCTAAATGAATAAACTATTTGACCTGATATTCATATTTGTAATTTACAATAAATGACTCCAGATGGAGAATGATGTATATAAATTATCTAATTAATGTTTTGTAGTGCTACAAATATGCCCAAGAGACTCTTTTGCCTTAAATTTTCAGTCATATTCAGCACTCTACCTCTCTGGCTCTTACACTTGGTCGCGCAATCAGATGAGGGTAGCATTTTTTTTACTGCTCCTTGAAAATTCATGTTTGTTGATACAGTATTTTTCATGTTATGTTTGTAGCACAGGTCATTTACAGCATTATCCAATCGAATACAAGGCTGTGGTGACTGAGCTACTTGGAAAAGCTTCTGTAATTTATTCTAAAAGAATACGGCAACTTGAGGGTGAGAAGATGGGCTTCGAGGGTACCCATAATCACATCTCAGAGCCGTTTTGTTATCTTAAAAAGGCCGCAGAGATATCAAATCAGAGTTTCCAGAGGATTGCCCTTGACTTGAATGACCACTTTTCTGTGCCAAGTTCCATAGAATATCACAAGGGTAGAGATGTTGGATCTGTGCAGGATGAAAGTAAAGAACCGTACATACATATATCCAGCCCGGCAAGCATAAGTGCGCATGGGGTTCTTGGTCAGTTCCTCTTCGACGTTTGTGTTCCCAAGAATGTGGAAGACTGGGATCTGAAATCATCACCGTCCTCAAGCAGGGTACCATTTGCCTCTACACGAAGAAACTCACCCTTCAATCCTATTAAATGCATTCGTCGTTCAAGATTGTAAATGATGCGAAGACTTCCTTATCTTAAGTAGACTACTTGGTATTAACCTGAAAGTAAAAAGAGCGATTTGCAC